TGAAGAGCCCTCTGGCTTTCCCGTGTGTGTGTGTGTGTGTGTGTGTGTGTGTGTGTGTGTGTGTGTGTGTGTACCTGTGTGGGTGCATGTGTGTGGAAGCCAGAGATCAACCTTGGATGCAGTTCTTCTGTTGTCATTTCCTGGTGCCATCCACCTTGTTTTTTGAGGCAGGGTCTCTAATAGGCATGGAGCTCATTAGGTAGACTAGGCTGGCTGGCCAGTGACCCCCCAGGGACCTACCTGTCTGCCTCTAGCTCCCTAGGGCTGAGATGACAAGTGCATGCCATTACACCTGACATTTTTACATGGGTTTGGGGATCGAACAGTAAAGACAAGACAGCACTTTACTGACTGACCTATCCCTTCTTCACGTGGCTTCTTCCAAGGGTACAACCCCACTCCTGAGGATTCCACCCTTTGGACCTAACCGCCTCCTAAAAGCTCTATCTTATAGTCAGAGTTTCAAATGAGTCATGAGAAGTTACAATTGTTTGGTCCTTGCAGATGTCTACAGACATGAACGTGTGTATATAAATGATGGTTAGTCTTCACATGATTGAACTGAAAAGTGCCTAGGACAGCAGTAAATCACACCTCTGTGGAGGTCTGTGAAGGTCTTTCCAGAGAGGATTAACTAAGTGGGAAAGATCTACTCTGATTGTCATTGGCACCATTCAGCTGAGGGTCTGGGTGGAACAAAAGGGACAGGAGGAAGCCTGTTTCTCTCTCTCTCTCTCTCTCTCTCTCTCTCTCTCTCTCTGTCCCCCTCTCCTCTGACTTAGCACAAACAAGTCTAACATGCACACATTGTGTTAGTTGGGTCAGGGAGGGTGTGAGTCAACTGCAGAGGGAGGTCAGCCACCAATGTGGCCATGACTTGGTGGGGGTGGAAGCATTCTCCGTGGTACAGTCACTTCCGTCACTGTCATCACCAAAGCTCTGCCAGTTGTGGATGAGAACCTAAGGCTCTGAAGGCCAGTGATGCACCAGGGCCACTCGGTTTCAGAGTGCTACATCTGATCACCCAGTTTCCACGCTCAGCCCTGAGCAATCCCCGAAGTCCAGTCTGGCCCTGGCACTCTGGCCAGTGGTTGAAGAGATCCAGGTCTCACTTGGTGGTCCTAGGGACAGGCTGTTGCCTATGATTCTGTACCCAAACACAATAAATTATAATGCAAACTTAGATGTCAAAACGTGTTTAGTGTGAGTTTCCTTTTCTGTTTGGATTTAGATTATATAAACAAAAGACAAAACACCCTACAATGACCAGTTGCCTTTGTGGGGACGGGCTTCTCCCACCAGAGTGTTGAAAACTCGGCAGGGGACAACAGGAGTCACTACTGTAGGGCTGAGTTGCCTGTAGAGGGGCTGGGCCGGTCAGGAGGGTGCAGTTGGCACCCTTGGCTCTGACCTTCGCCATGTTGAGGTTGGGCTGACAGGGCTGCTGCCTCCCAGTGACTACACTAGCTTTCCCTCCTGGGCCCCTTGGACAGCTGTTTGGACTGTCCCACCTGGAGACGACCTCAGGTGTGCACTGGACCCTTATGGCCCTGTTTCCCTAGATGTGACTGGAGATAACCAGGGGCAGCCAGCGGAGAAGGGGAAATAGGGAGCTGTCGCAGAGGACTTGCTTAGAGCTGAGCTCCCTAGGTCTACAACCGCCGGTGCTTAGGGAGCAACACGTGACTTTAGGAGACAAGAAAGCCCCACTCTACTTTATAGATGAAGTAGATATTGAGAGAATGCATTTGTAAGCAACCTGGGAAAGCCAGGCAGAGTGGGAGAGGAGCCAGCATCCTGCTGCCGCTCCCGCGCCCTCTGCTGGTAGCTCTGGGGACTAGGGACTGAGGGAGGGAAAGGAATCCCGGCTCAGAAGCCTTGTCAGGGAAAACCAAGCCTCTTGGTTGCATTTCCTTTGAGCCCAGAGGCCTTCTTGGGCTGGAAGGTTAAGATCAGTTTTGACAGACAGTTTATTTAGAATCCATTCATTGTAACTCAAAGACTGGCATCAAATTTATTATTATCTTTCGTTAAATATCTTAGATCATTTCAGAAACATAGTTTGAAAGGGCATAGGTTTACTTCCCTGGTATATGTAGTTACAAGACAGGAGAGGTGACACAAACGGTGGTTCACACGTGGGGGAAGGTTGGAAGGGGCTCTGTACCCCCATCACAGCCTTTAGTTCTCTGAGAGAGAACAGTTTCTGAACTTCCAGCAGCTTCTGAAGTTCTAATATAAAGCATCTGTAGGATGGTCCGTCTTAACACTCAGGGTGGGGGCTTTGCTTGGTTCTTTGCAATTGGTCGTCTCATCATATACAAACAGCCGCCCCCGAGGGATAGGTGTTTAGTAGGACTTGGGAGAGGACCCCTCCTTGATTCTTCCTTTGTTGCTCAGGTGAGCCCGAGATTCAAGTCCCACAGGCAGGTTAATGCAGAGGGAGGAGGTCCATCGGGGACAACGGAGACTACAGTCATACATGCATTCAACATATCGTAGAGTAACAATATACTTGGTGGGGAAGGTCTGCCGAGCAAGCCCCTGCTTGCTGCATGGTCGCCTGTCCTGCAAGCGTTCTTGTTGGAATGGGGCTGAGGGTGGGCGGGATTCATTTCCAGGTTACTAACCAAGATGAGGGGCTTTCTTCTAGTGGGGATGGTTGGGCAGTGTGAGCTGAGATGGGGGGTTCTGGGCAGAAAGGCTCCAACCTCTGAGGGTTAGGGGTCTCTCAGGGCAAAAGCTTGACTTGCCCAGGTGTCAGTGTCAGGAACAGGTAAAGGGCAGGCAGACAGTTCCACTGAGGGTCTTGGGGAATGTGCAGGGATGGTTGAGAGAAATGTGGTTCTCTGTGGCAGCCCCAAAGCCTTCCTCAGTGGAATTCACAGAGCTCATGTCTCACGAGCGCCATCAGATCCTGGCTCCAGAGGGAAGAACCAAACAAGCCCTATCTAGAACATCAGCTGGTTTCTCAGATTCTAGGCCAGGTGGGTGGTGCCTGGAAGCCTTCTGGAGAGAGACAGGTGGTGACTGGTATGTGTTGAGTTGGTTGGGAAATGGGGCAAGAATGGTCTAGATCCAGAAAAGGCTGTCCTTGAGCTTCCATTACACAGAATCTTTGAAGAGGAAATTCTTCACAGCAGCTTCTGAGGTTCTAATATAAAGCATCTGTAGGATGGTCCGTCTTAACACTCAGGGTGGGGGCTTTGCTTCGTTCTTTGCAATTGGTCGTCTCATCATGTACAAACAGCTGCCCCTGAGGGATAGGTGTTTAGTAGGACTTGGGAGAGGACCCCTCCTCGATTCTTCCTTTGTTGCTTTGGATGGAAATGTGGCCTTCTCTCTCCAGCCCCTTGGGGGCAGGTGAAGAAAACCGGAAGAAAACGGGATGTGGATGCTATCACGTTTAGGGTGGGAGGAGGGTGGGACATGGTGGCTCAGGTCTCTACCTTGACCCACTGTGTGACTGTCAGACACATGCATTCCTCATCAGAAAATGGGGACCCTGTCACCCACCCACGGCGATGTAAAGAGGCACTGGTGAGCCATTCTCTTTGGGAGTGCTCAGCCCAGGGCCAGCACTGGTAAGGGCTGAGCTACATGGCAACTAAATGTGAGGGTGGGAAAGGGTGCCTGCATGGTGGAGAGAGGAGAGGAAATGCTTCCAGGGCTGGAGCTAGAGGGGATGAATGAACTTCCAGCGTGAGCCTCCAGCTCTGTGCTGGCCCTGCCAGGGATGTCCTTCCAGCTCAGTTGTCAGAGCCCTAGTTCGACAAGGGGCAGGGGCTCTTGCCCACTGTTGCTTCAGTAACCGCTGTCTGTGAAGAAGGGTGAGCCAGCAGACAGGGAGCAGTCACCTTCCTTGCATGGCTGGGAGAGCTCCCCATATTCACTGTTGTAAAACACCTTGCCTCCTTGTGCCCCCTGGGTGGGCCGCCTACGTCTCCCCTGGGGGTCAGGGTGTGCTCTGGTCACATCCATATCCTGGTCAGGTCCTTTAAAGCTGTCAAGATAGGGAGGATGGTGTTAGTCATCAGAGAAGTGAGAGGACCCAGATCAGGATCTGACTGGAGTCATCAGACACAACCACAGCATGATGCATGCACAGGGGTTTTGAGCATACAGATTTGGCATAAAATGCAAAGCAGGCAGATCTGATGTGACTGGGCACTTTTCTTGCCCCAAGTCTGGGCACGGACCATGGAAATGGCCAACTTCTTCCCCTTAAGCTTGCTTCTTTCTTTAGGCCAAGGTGCACTGGCCAAGTGCAAACATATCTGTCCCATCTTCTTAGGGTGGGTTTCAAGAAAACATACGCAGAGAACAGCGCCTTCTGTGGCCACTTACAGCAAGGTTCCGTGTCCTTAAAGAGCTTGTGTGTCTGTCTACTTTTGAATTTTTGATACTATCTTGCCTCCTTAGGATCCTGATTTTCCTGGAATGTTCTTCTTCCTTTACCACCAAGCATCTGAGTTAGGGCACAATATTTCAGCCCACTGCCCCAGCTGAAGCAGTGACCTCCCCAAGCAGCTGCCCATGTCTTGCCTAACTCAATAAATGGCACCAGGGTTCACTCTATCACTCATGCCAAGCACCTGACTGTAGTCTTTGTCTTCAGTCCTCATATCCAGTCCATCTAGAGGCCCTGTACATCTTAACTGCAGATGTACCTACTTATATCCGCCTACCCCAGACCCCTTCTTTAGAGTGAGTGGCCATCACTGGCAGATGTCTCTACTTCAGTCGCCTCCCTTTCTGGAAGGTCTTCGGAGAGACTCTTTAAGTTAGGTTGACTGGTCTCCTTCTGACCCTCTCTCCAAGGGCCTCCCATCACTCTTGGGATGAAATCCTAGCTTTCGGGATGGAGAAATGTCTCCTCTGCAAGCAAGAGGACCAAAGTCTGGATCTCCAGCACCCATTGAAAAGCAAAAGCCAGGCAGGTGTGACAGCTCACCTGAACCCCAGTGCTTGGAAAGACCGAGTCAAGGGATCCCTGGGGTAAGCTAGCTAGGCCAGCTGAATCAGTGAGCTCTGAGTTCATGGAGACTTTGATAAGTAAAGTGGAGAGCAATTGAGGAAGACACCTGATGACCTGCACGCACACGTGCACACAGGTGCACCTGTACATGAAAACACAGATGCACGCACACCATACACACATGTACCCACCCCCCAAAACATCCTCAGAGGACAACTTTCAGGAGTTTATTCTTTTTCCACCATGTGGGTTCCTGGCATTGGACTCAGCTCATCAGGATTAGTAGGAAGTGCCCAGGTGGGAAGTGCCTTTATACGCTGAGCCATCTCAATGCTAGAGAAAATTCTACTCTTGGTCTTTTTTTTTTTTTTTTTTTTTGGTCTCCCTGTAGCTCCAGCTGGCCTGGAACTCACAGAGATCCAATGCCTCCCAAGTGCTGGGTCTAAAGGTGCATGCCACCATGCCTGGCTTTAAAAAAATTATTTATTTTTTCAGTTCATTTTTAAGAGGATTCATCTTTTTTTTTTTTTTCTTTTTTTGTCTTTTTGAGACAGGGTCTCCCTGTAGCCCCAGCTGTCCTGGAACTCACTATGTAGAGCAGGTTGGCCTGGAACTCACAAAGATCTGCCAGTGTCTGCCTCCCAGGTGTTGGGATTAAAGGCGTGCACCACCACACCAGGCCAAGAGGATTCATCTTTTATTTCATTGTCTTTCCTGAGTTAGGTGTTTTATATCGCCACATTGCCCATCTGTATGCTGAACTACTTAATTTCTGATTCTTGGTGTAGTGCTCATTTCTTTATATATTTAATTCCTGCCAGCATGGTGTGTTAGCTTTCATCTTTTAAAGACAATTCTACTGTAAGCAGTAGAATTAATCCTACTTTCCTGTTTTGTTTTGTTTTTTTAACTTTAAAAAAATGTTTATTGTTTTTATTTTGTGTGTATGTGTGTATTGCCTGCATGTAGGTAAGTGCACCCATGTCGTGGAATGCCCATGGAGGTCAAAACAGGCTGTCGGATCCCCTGGGACTGGAGTTATGGACAGTTGTTAGCTGCCATGTAGGTGCTGGGATTTGAACCCTGGTCTTCTGCAAGAACAACCAGTGTTCTTAACCACTGAGCCATCTCTCCAGCCCCCCTGTTTTAGTTTTATAATAACTTCAGATGGACAGTGCTTTTTTTCCCTCTTCATGGTTATTCAGGTTAGAATTTCCTACATTGAAATAGCAGGTTTACCCTGTGCCAGGAGCTTAAATGGTGTTATGGTTTAAACATGTCCATCAAGGGTTATATCCTGGAAATTCAGTCCCTAGTACAATGTGTGGCAAGGTGAGACCTGTGGAGGATGCTTAGGCTCAGGTAATAGACTGATGTTGTAAGAGAGGGGCTGTCAGAGAAGCTGGGGTCCTTTCTTACGCTTGGTTATGGGATCACATAACAAGAAAGACCCTAACAGACATCGGCACTATACTTTTGGATTTCTCAGCCTTGAGGACCACAAGTCAAATACACCCTTTTTCTCATTCTAAGTTACCCAGGCTCAGGTTCTTTGTCATAGCAGCACAAGAAGAACTGAGACTGGTTGCTTCCTAAGTTTCTTCATTCAGAAGTGCCATTTCAGAACTATATCTTTGATATCACTTGAGAGTCCCTTGACTGCATCTCTGCCAAAGGTTCCATTCATGTCCTGCATCATACCACCATCAAAGGCCAACCTACTTCTTTCCCAAGGAGTGTTGGGCCCTCTCATGGGCAGCTGCCATGCGGCCACCCGACCAACCCAAACCCAGATTGTTCTAGATCTCCTTTCACCCATAGGCTGGGATGGAACAGGCTCTTCAGGGTGGGGGATTTGCATCCTAAATGGTCACTGAAAAGATGATGTATCTGGAAGTGAGGAAGAGTTGACTCTCCAGGGGAAGAGTGTGGACTGAAGGCTAAGAGGAGACAGTGAGGACCTAGCTAGGTCAACTCCTTCCTTCTCCCCATAGACTCCTCCAATCCGCATTCTGTCCTTGCAAATATTTGGAGAACATCCTGTCAGTCAAACAAATGCATCAGTCCAGTGACCTACTGTTCCTTTGACTACCTGGCTCCTTCTGATTTATGGGTACCATTTGATCCTGCATTATCTTCTGGAACGTTTTTCCTTCCTCACGTCCAAACAGCTCATTGCCCCTTCAGAAGCAGTGCCCTCCCAAGATGGCTGCCCTGGGTCTAAGGATCTTTGCTTTTCTCTGTTAAGTCTCAGCCTCCTCCATTGTCTCCTGTCTGTGTGATGTGATGCTCTAGTGGGACAGTCCTCACCTGACTCCGCTGCTGTGGCTTAGGCTTGGCTCTGCTGGCCATGGTGTGTTGAATGCACACACATAGAAACGCATGCAGACTCGGGTACATCACAAGTATGAACTGAGTGCCTTCATTTAATCTCGATTTAGTTTTTTAATTTATGAGTGTGCCTGTGTGACTTTGGGTGCACCACATGCATGCAGCTACCCAAGGAGACCAGAAGATGGCATTGGATGCCCTGGAGCTCGAGTTGCAGGTTTTGTTAAACTCCATGTGGGTGCTGGAAAGCGAACCTGAGTCCTCCACAAGAGCAGCCAATGCTCTTAACTGATGAGCCATTGCTCAAGCCCCAGGAACTTTCTTTTTTTTAAAGATGTGTGGAAGTTTGAATTGAAATAGCCATCATCCCCTTTGGTGATGGGTGACAGGAAAGGGAACTGGGTGGCCCAATGATTTAGGTCTCAGAGCAGCTCACTTTGAACCCCCAAAACATAACAGGGAGCCACAAAAAGTTTTGGGGAATAGTGTCAGGGCACAGCCAAGCCCCAGCCTGCTTTTCAGTAGGCACCTGCTCAAGATCCCCCCACGGACCCCGCTCAGTGCCCACTATTGCAGTGCATGAGGCTCTGGCAGCCCTTACCTGAAGCCACCTTCTTGTCTATGCCTGCTTTCTATCTGCTCAAACTCCTCTGAGGCCAGCACCATGCCACTGTCCGTCTGGTTATCCTGTGGGGAAAGAACCAGCCAAGTCTGTGGGTCACATACAAGGCTCTTCTGCAGGGCAGCTGCTTCCCAGCCTGGACAGGGTGTGTGGGAACCTGTGTCCTGATGACCACAGGGACTGAGTTGGAAAGGGGGCTTCTGTTCTATCACCCAAGTGTGCAGGAGAGAGCCACAGCTCTGACACCAAAGGAAGAGCTGTGGCTGGAGGGGTTAGGAGATGGAGCTGGGGAGCATCAGTGTGGACTGAGAGCCATGCTTGGTCTGTGTGCTCACTCTGAGTCCCTTAGGAGGTCAGAACTGCAATCTCAGTGTTACTTCAAAAGGCCTTCACTTGGCCCTACATCTGTATGGTCAAGTCAAGGGCCTTCCTTCCTGACCTCATTACCTGCCCTCCTTGGGCTTCTGACCCAGGACCCATGGCTCCTTCTGGATGGACCTAGAATTGGAAGTCCTGGCATGCCTCCTGGCCATGTGCCACCAGAGTGCAGGCCTGGGGTGTCAGTCCCCTCCTTTACAAACAGACATGCTTGCCAAGTCTTGCTGAGCTATGTGAACTTTACTGCGCTTGATCAGGTCTAAGGACACAAGTTGTCAATAGCTGAGTGGCACCTGCTAGTTTTTCTGTTCCCCACACCCTAGCCTTCTCTTTCAATGCCACTTCTGTTCTCTGGCTTGGTGTTGTCGACCACCATCGACAGGGTCACCTGTGTCCCAGACCGATGGAACAAGAACTCTAGGCAACCCCCCCAACTCCGTGTGTGTGTGTGTGTGTGTGTGTGTGTGTGTGTGTGTGTGTGTATGCATTCATGCCACAGTACGTGTGTGGAGTTCAGATGACAACTTGTAAGAGTCAGTTCTCTCCTTCTACCATTTGGGTTCCGGGAATTGAACTTGGGTTGTCAGGCTTGGCGGCACACACCCTTACCCACTGAGCCATCTTTCCGGCCCCAAGTTCTCTTTTTACTAGGATTTCTACACAGCCTGGAGAGAAGAGGCCAGTGTTAGGAGGCTATGTGTGAGAGTGACCAGCAGCTGAGAGAGGGTAGCTTTGTGTGGCTGCCAGGAGGCAAAAGTGCCTAGGCTGTCTGGACTTGATATTTTCAAGTACTTTTCCAAAGAGATGCCTTCAAGCCTAGGAATGGTAGCATCATTCACAATAGGCAAGGGACTGTCACCCTAGGTGCCGACAACAGGACAATGGATCTAGGAAAATGTGGTGTATCTACACAGTGGAGTTTTATCCCACTATAAAGAAGTAACAACTGTCCTTTGCAGGAAAATGGATGGAATTGGAGGACATCACATTAAATAAAATCAGCCAGGCACAGAAAGGCAAGTACAACATGTTCCCTCACATGGAAGCTAAAAACAGCTGACCTGGAAGGAAAGAGTGATTGAAAGAGGTTGAAGAGTGGGAGGGAAGGTGCATAAAGGTGGATAAAGGGATTGGACTGGGTTTTGTTAGTGCATCCTATGGGCATTTCTTGAAATGCCATTGCATCCCATTTATATGTGCAGTTTACATGTTAATCAAAAATTAAATGAAATATTTGGATAAAGCCCATTTTACTTTCTGTAACTTGTGTCTGGAATCCCTAGTACTTTCCCTCACCCGAGGTTGCTTCTGTCCCATTTGAGGTACACAGAGCCTCCTCCCTCCACCTTCCCTTACCACAGAGGCTTTGTAGGTCGTAGGAGTCATGGGGAATTCTTCAAATGTCTTCATCCTAGAAGAACCCTGTGTCTGAGTTCCTCTGGTCAGGCACCCGGGAAAGGATACACAATTGTAATATCTGTGGGGAAGACAAAGATTCTGAGGGAGTGCAGTCCACCTTCTCCCACCTCTAGACTGCTTCCCTACCCAAGAAGACCTCCAGCCTGAGGCAGAGTGTGGGTGGGGCTGGGGTCTGGACTAGCCCCCAGATCCTATCCTGGATGTCTATCACACAGCCCAGCTGAGGGACCTCGGCATGTCCTCCTTCCTGTACAAGAGCATAAAAACTGAGTTCACTACTGGGAGTCTGCATTGGACAGAGGTGGGGGTACTCCCAGGCTGAGTGTGGCATGGAGCTAAGTGGGAGCTATGGCCTTTTCAGGTTGGGCCACTGGACAAGGCAGGCCATCCTGCAGCTACAAGCCACTTACTGCCCTGCCTATGTGTGCATGCATGTTGCTTGTGTAGGTGTGCACGTATGTGCATGTCTGTGTATGTGTGCATATGTATAGGTGTGTACATGTGTGTGCCTGTGTAGGTATGCATATATGTGTGCCTGTTTTGGTATGCACATGCCTGTGTGTCTGTGTGTGCATATGTATGTCTGTGTAGAAGTGCACATGTGCGTGCACATATTGGGGCTTGGTGGGATCCAGCTTACTCTTCTTGCTCCCACGCCTCTCACTGCTCTCTGAGCATGCACAGAGGAGGGGCCCTGGAGTTCAGCTTCTCAGCCATGCTGGGGAGACAGTGAATGGCACAACCTCCAAGGGTATGAACTTCCAAGAGCAGTTGAATCCAGAATTCCAGAAGCAGGCTGTCTTACTCCTGAGAGTGGTGAGTGGGTGGCTGTCACTGCTCCCACCCACTGACAGTGACCCTGGGGTAGGCCTGGAGGAGTCTTGGCCCAAACATGGCTCACTTTATTTTGGGTCCCTGACAAAATGTGCCTAAGACGGGTGCTCCTTTGAACATGGGGTGAAGGAGAGAGGGGCACAGAGAGTTGGAGGAGGCCAGTTGCTGTGGTTTGGCTATGGCTTGAGTATGTCCCCTAAGGGTCATGTGCTAGAAGCTTGGTCCTCCATGTGGGGCGCTGAAGTGGGACAAGGTGATTAGGTTATGGGAGCACGACCCTCAGTGCATTAGGTCAAGGGAGCACCACCTTCAGCAAGACTAATAGAGCTCTCTTGGGACCCTGGTGTGTTCTTGAGAGAGTGAGATGTTGTAAGAGCAACCTAGGCCCACATCCCTCTGGTTTCCCTTCTCACCATACGCTTTCTTCTGCATGTACTTCTGCTATCATGATATTGTGATGCCATCTGCCATGAAATTCCCTCCAGAAATAAGCAGATGCTGACACCATGCTCTTGAAGCTCCATAACTGTCAGCTGAATAGACCTCCATTCTTTATAAAGTACTCAGCCTCAGATATTTTGTTATAGCAATAGACTAGGACAATCATGGGAAGAGGTCTCTCAAGTCTCTCTAAGTTGCTTTTCCCTCCATGACTCAAGACGACTCATAAAATATACCATCTCCGGTCGGGTGTGGTGGCTGGCGCACACCTTTAATCCCAGTACTCAGGAGGCAGAGAGGTAGGAGAATCTCTGTGAGTTCAATGCCAGCCTGGTCTATATAGCAAGTTCCAGGCCAGCTGAAGCTACAAGGAGACCCTGTCTCAAAAATATCTATCATCTATCTATCTATCTATCTATCTATCTATCTATCTATCTATCTATCATCTATCTATCATCTCTCTATCTATCTATCATCTCCAAGATGCTCCCCCCATCAGCCCAATTCCCAGACCTGAGGAGGGTGGCTGACCTGGCTGCCAGGCTGTGGCGATGCACACTGGGGGGACTGTCCTCAGTGTCAGCTTCAGTGATGTGTAGAGCTGTGGTGGATGTCTGCATGAAGCCACCTTCCTCCGAGCTCTGAGAGCTGTGCAGGGCCATACACTCCTCCTCTTCCTCCTGGTAGGAAAGGGGGAAGTGTCCAGGCTCAGAGGCCACCACATGTCCTGTCCCTCAACCCTCCTGCTGCCCTCAGGGCTTCTGTGTCTTGACGTCTGAGGTGGGGTCAGGATGGGCTGTGTGTGAGCCAGTGCTTGAAGGAGTAAGTGGGTTCATGCTGGGTCCTAGCACACTTCAGTGTTCAAAGCAGGCCAAGCATGGAGGTTGCTAAAGGCCCACTGGGCTGGCCTTGTTCAGTTCTCCCAAGAGCCCCATCTACAAAGGAGGCAGGTGGGACAGGAAAGGCCTCAGCTGAACATCCTCAGTTCAGGTCTTAGAGCATACCAGCTTTGAAATGCTCTGGTCCTATCCTCACATGCACTTCTGGGAAGGGGGAGATACAGGATGCAAAACAAGCTCAGAGTCTTGGTGCTCAGAAGGAGCTAGGGGGTAAAGGAATGTGTTACTATTATGTCTTCTGGACAAGACTGCCTTGTAGGTCCAGTGTGGACCAGCTTGGACTCCCTGAGGGCAAGGATGGTCTCTGCCATTCTGCCCTGGCAGCTGGGACAGGCACTGGTGGTGTTTGCCCAACTCCACACTGAGTATCAAGGTGTGGAGACAGAGCTGTGGGTGGTGGGCACTAGGAGGACAGACTCATGGGCCTGGGGCCCAGAAGGGTGTGGCTTTTGCTTGCTGACTGAGTGGAGAGCAGTGTTTGGAGGGGCCTGGAAGAGCAGACAAGGCAAGGACCCAGGATACAGCGGGACAGGGCAAAGACGGCTCACCTGTCGGCCCTGGAGCAGGTCCCCCAGGATCTCCACCAGATCGGAGAAGGCAGGCCTTGCTTTGGGATCTCCAGACCAACAGCTCTGCATGATGTGGCGTCTGTGGGGTGCAGCTGGCTACTGACCTGTGGTCTGAGTGCACATGACCCCTCCCACCAGCCAACCCCATTACTCCTGCCTCCCCTGGGCCTCTGCAATGATTTGGATGCAGGCTGAGTGTCTCAGAGGTTCATGTGATAGAAGTTTGGTCCCAGAGTGGTTGACCACTGTTGAGGCAATAGGATCTTTAAGAGGTGAGGCCCACTGCAAGGTCCCGGGGGCTTATGAATGGATTAATGTTGTTCTTGTGGAGTGGCGTCTTCAGAGGGCAGGCTGTTGTGCATAAAGTCCCTTGCTTCCTGTCTCTCTATGGGACCTCTCCCTCTCACATGCTCCCAACATGATACATCTGCCATATTATAACGCACCCAGAAGGTCTTCACCAGAGCTGAAGAGACAGATGCTGATGCTTGCTCTCGAACTTACAAACTGTGAGCTAAATAAACCCTTTTTCCTTATAAAAAACTGTGTTTTGCCCAGTGTTTTGTTATAGGTGCACAAAATGGACTAAGACCTTTGTCTTTCACATCCGCTGTGTTGTCTCCACTCCAGATTTAGGCACTAGCTCTTCCTCCCACCTGCCTCCCATCATGCTCTAGTGGCTTTCAGTACTTCCAGTGTCACCTTAATGTCCTCTCTGGGGACAATTTCCTTGATCACTAGATTTTCTGGTGCCTATCAGGTGCTCTCAGAGGCCCTGTGTCCCCCCTCATGTGCATCACTGTTATGGTCATGTGACTACCAACTGTGGGTGTCCTCCAGGGCTGAGGCTAGGCCTGATTTGTTGGCTCTGGACTCCCTGGGGATGACACACAGGAGTGAGGTCAGGGTGGGGAGAATCTCAGTGGATCAGTGATGAAGTAAGAGACAATGTCTATCAGACATTATGCCCTTGTGCCCTCTCCTGCCTCCTGTTCTCCTTCCTGAGCCTTGGTACCATACCCTGCCTCCATGCCCTTCTTCCCATGTGTGTCCCTGTGTCTGCTCGAGGCACTCATGCCTCCATGCATGCACACTTCTCTCTTGGCCCCCCATCCCCCCATTCCCTGACAGTTGTATGGCCAGTCAAGAGACTTACATGGCTGGAGTGGCCAGCTCCGGGGCCCTCATCCGTGTGCCATCCTTCAGCCGCTGGCAGAACTCCTCATTAATCTGCACCCCAGGGTATGGGGAAGCCCCTAATGGGAGAAAGGGGGTGGGGTGGGTGGGAGAAGCTTGGCCCTGTTCAACCTATCTTGCTCCTTCCTCTTCTGCACTGTTGTCTGCTGCAGTGTGATGTCCCCATGTGGGGGGCTGGACAAGCTGCTGTTCTAGTTCTTCACAAGGTGGAAAGAGGATGAATGGTATTGGAAAGATGACTCTGGAGCTAAGAGCACTTGCTGCACAATCATGAGGACCTGGGTTCAGGTTCCAGCACCCACTTAACAAGCCATGCACCCCACACATGCCTGTAACCCTAGCTCTGAGGCAAGAAGGGAGAACAGGATCACTGGGGCTTGCTGGCTTCCAGTCTAGCTGAGGAAACATCAGCTCCAGGTTCAGGGAGACACCCTGCCTTGAAGGAATAGGCAGAGAGTGATAGAAGAAGGTACCTGACATCACCTTCTGGCCTCTAAGCCCCTGTGCACAGGCATATACACCTGTGTACATCCATGTGCTTACACACACACACACACACACACACACACACACACACACGCACACGCACAAATACATAAATCTTTAAAAGAGGATAGAGGAGGCCACTTGTTTGCTAGGGGAGCTGTGAACATCCACACATTTCACATGCATCTGTGAGAGTGGTTACTGGGGCAGAGGGTCGAGCCTCGAAGAATCTGTTTTGACAAAATCTCTCTGGCTACATCTCCTGATGCTCCGATCTGCCCACACCCTGCCCACTTCCAACTCATGTTGTCCATTGGCCTGGTGCCCCTCACCCTGCACTTCCATCTCCTAGGCAACCTGCCTCTACCTCACCCCTCTATTATTCATTTATGGACTATTTGTGTTGCTAGAGATTGAACCCAGGGCATGCTAAGCCCTCTGAATTGAGCCTCAGCCCCCTTCATGTGGCCCAGACTCTTCCCGGTCCCCCTGGCTCATCTGGCAACCCTGAAGCTTCCTGGACCTTCCTGCTCTTGTTCTGGGTAACAGCGGTTATCATTGTTATTTGGTGATATTTTAGGTTTTGTTCACTGTCTCCTCCTGCTCTTCTTGGATGGAGACTTCATCCTGTTCCCACTTGGGACTTACATAAACAGCTGCGATTGTTGATGAACACTGAGCTCCCTCTGGGACCCATGGTAAGTGGGAGGCTGCTGTGAAGCAAGGCTTTGCCCTGTGCAGGATCAGAGTGTGCCAGTAGAGCCCACATTGGAAGCAAAACCCTCTGGGAGGCTGGGCCAGGTTGAGCAGAGGCAGGTGGGTGGGTAGGCTCTCTGGTCCATGACCTGCCTCAGAATGACCTGGGTTACTAGGTCCATGTGCACAGCTCTAGGTGTGTGCCCAGCCTCTGGAGCTAGGTGACCCTCCCCTCCGCTTCACTCACCCAAGGAGAAGATCTCCCAGAGCAGCACTCCGAAGGACCACACATCACTCTGTGTGGTGTACACTTTGTCAAAGATGCTCTCAGGGGCCATCCACTTCAGAGGCAGTCGGGCCTGGGCAGACAGAGAGGTGTGTTCCAGAGTGGGAGGGGAGAGGGCAGAGGCCAGACACTAGGGTACCCACAATCCCAGGTTCCTTCTCTGAGGACTGAAGGTATCTTTCCTGAAGATGCCCTGTGTGTCCAGATCTCTTTCTGTCCCCATCCTTCATTTCCTCTCTTGCTCTTCCCCACCCCCTCTCACAGCACAGAGCAGCCTTGAAATTAGGATCCTCCTGCCTTATTGTCCTTAGTTCAGGCATGCATCACCATAGCCTGCTTCTGGTGGGAGAGTCTGGCATCCTCTCCTCTAGTTGTGGGTCTTGGCGAAGCGTCTCGTGGTGGTACATCCCTGTAGACCTTCATTGTCTCTCCTGACAAACACACTCTTCTACTCACTGTGTCCCCATACACAAAGCCAGGTGGTCACTCCGTCTCCCTCCCACTGGACCTCCTAATGGTTCTTCCCCATCATCTGTCTCTCTCCCTTTCATAGCCTCTAACTGGGAGTCCTTCCAGACTGGCATCTGTCTCAAACGCAGTGTCCCCTGTCTCCTTTCCTCACAGTTTACATAGGGGTTTCCAAGAAATGCAATGCTGCCCCCTACCTCCACTTGCCTCCACACCTGTGAGTCAGCACAAAGGGCAAAAGCCTTCCACAGGGTGGCCATGCTGGGCAAGGTGGCCATCATACCACACCCTGGACTCATCCTGCTTATTTCCTCCCTGCAACCCTTTTCCTTCCTCTCCCTGGCACAAACCCTTAATGAGCTGTGGTTACTCATTCAAGCACCTGCCTCCGAGCTCTGCTAACAGGACCCACACTACCACTGGGACAGCCTCCCTCCCCAAACAGCTACCCCCAGGTCACATGTCCCATGGGTCACATGCAGGGACTCAGCACCCAACAATGCACCAAGAAGTCAGTCAAAACATAGCTCTGGGGGCAGTTAAGAGCAGTGACTGCCCTTGCAGAAGACCCAGGTTCAATTATTAGCACTCACATGGTGACTAACATGAGTCCTTAACTCTAGTTCCAGGGGATCCAATGGCCTCTTCTTGCCTTTATGGGCAATGTATCACATAGGTGTGCTTACTTACATGCAGGCCAAACACTCACACAGATTTAAAAAAAGCCCCCCCCCCAAGCAAAAAGCAAAACACAGCTCTGATGGGAATGCTTGCTTGCAGTCTCCTGTCTTTAATCTCCTGACGCAGGCTGTCTTAATGGGCAAGACCACTAGGGTCCCTGTAAGCCAGTCCCTCAGACCTTCGTGTGATGTATGATCTAGATGATCAACTTGATTGGATTTAGAATCTCCACAGAAACAAACCTCTGGATGTGTCTGTGAGGGATTATGTAGATTAGGTTAATTGAGGTGGGGAGACCCAGCCTAAATGTGAGCAGTACCATTCTATGTTCTGGGGTCCTGGACTGAATACAAAGGAGAAACAGAGCTGAGCACAAGTATTCATCACTCTCTGCTTCCTGACTGGACACAGTGTGAGCATCCGCCTCCTGTCCCTGTCACCACACCTTCCCTGCCATGATGAACTACATCCCCTGGAACTTTTGGCCAAAATAAATTCTTCTTCGAGTTGACTTTGTCACAGCAATAAAACAAGTAACTAACACACTTGGTAAGCTCCTGGAAGTGGTAGCCTCCCTGCAGCTGGGAAAGTAGCCTGGCAGACTACTAGGTTCATGTCACTGTGAGCCACCATGGCCTCAGGTGATCTGTGGCTTCATCCTCCCCATCTACCCAGCATCCCCTGCTCCCATGGCCTGGACTCACGCTGCCCTTTCGGACATAGTCAGGATCTTTGTAGATGTCCCGAGCGAGACCAAAGTCACAGATCTTCACTATGTCACTTTCTGACAGTAAGATGTTCCGAGCGGCCAGGTCTCTGTGAATGCACTAGGGGTACAGAGAAGGAGGTGGTGGTGAGTTCAGCTCTGACCCCTAGGGTGACACCCAGGCCTAAATTTTCCAGGTTCCCTGGGGTATGCCCTGCCCTGCCTGTGTCCTACTCTTTTGGAGAAAGATTTAAGTGTATCCTGAAGACTTGTTACAGAGTGGGCATATTCAGTTGAAGACAGTGGAGAGGGTTAAGGAGTCAGCTAGACTGATTCCAAAGCCACTGCCTTCCTAGAGACCTAGGGAAGGAAATTCCTCCACTTGGACTCGGTTTCCTCTTCTACAAAGTGAGAGAGAAGCAAACTGATCCTAAGGCCGCTGTGGGGTAAAGTTAGGGTCAAGTACCTCTATGGCAGTGTGTTTGTACCCTTCTCCTCTAAAAAGGGCCTGGTAGGGGTTCAAGGGACCTACCTTCCGGGAGGCCAGGAACTCCATTCCCCGGGCCACTTGGAAGCTGTAGCAGACAAGGTCTTCCATGGTCAGTGGGCTCAGCCATAGGTCTTCAACTGCATGGTGGAGGGAGGGGTCTCAAGAGGGGCTCCTTTAGGTCTTCCCTCTCAGCACCAAAGTTAACATCTGTGCACCCAACCTTGACTGGGAGACCCCAGACATGATCACCAACCCATTCCTGTTGGATACCTTCAGACTCTTAAAAACTTTATGTGTATGAGTATTTGGCTACATGTATGTATGTACACCACACACATGCAATGCCCATGGAGGCCAGAAGAGGGAGTGGGATCTCTTGGGCCTGGAGTTACAGAGGGCTGTGTGCAGCTGGGTGTTGGGAATTGAACCCCAGTGCTCTGTGAGAGCAGCTAGTGCTCTGAACCCCTGAGCCACCTCTCAGCCCCCTTCACACTTTTTAGCACTTACCTGCCTTTGTACTGTTCCCCAACCCTGTCTGCAAGGCAAATTCCTAATCATCCTGTGACGCCCAAGTTAAATTTCACTCTCTTCCCTTTCCAAGGCAGAGCACATTACAAGTTCTCTCATGGAAGCCCCTCCTCCAAGGGTCGCAGGCTAGGCAATCCCTGGGTGCCGACCGTGAGGCTTCACTGTGCCAGAGAGGCACTGGGAAGTGGAATACGGCTCCTTACCTTCTTGGACTAGAGGCGCCCGCCGCACCCCTCCCCTGCCCATCAGGAGCCTGGTGAGTAGAGCCCTGTCGCTGCTCCCAGGTCTCCGCCGGTCAGCCTTGGCGCCTTCCACCATTGCGCGGAAGCGCCTTCGTTGCTCTGGAGACTTCTCCTGCGAAGGCGTAAAGCTGGCCCAAAGTGGCCTGCCTCTCACCCAGAGGCGCCTCCGGCTAGCATCCCCAGCCCACCTTCTAACAGAGCTCCGACAGCAGGCTGGGGTGCCCACTTACTGCGTAGGGGTTGAAGGCCTCCCGCTTGGCGCGCAAGAAGTTGGAGAGGTTGCCATACTTGCAGAACTCCACAATCACCATGAGGGGGCCTAGGACACCGCGGAGCAGAAGCAGGGTACTCAGCGATGCCAGTGGCGCAGCAACACCGCGGCTGCCAATGCCCCCTATTCATCCTGCACCCGACCAGGTATCAGGGTATCCAGACCCAAGCCCAGAGGAGTGCAAGCCAGAGTGCAAGCCTGGTCCTTTCCCCAGGGCATCCCATTTCCTTACCATTGGGCTTGGTGCACGCCCCTAGGAGGTTGACCACATTGAGGTGGTTACCAATGTGGATTAGGATCTTGAGCTCCGACATCAAGGCACGGTGCTCGCTGGCCGTGGCGCCCTCTAGAGGAGACACAGGGGCACAGTATGATGCCTAGCCTGCCCTGGCCTTTTCCCCCAATCTCTGCTCAACCCTCGTCTTGGCCTTAACTAAGGAACGCACAGCGCTGGGGCTGGGGATGCCGGCTGCGCTGGTCCCTAGCACATGCTGCTGACCTTACTGAGGCAGAAGCCCAACTCTGATTATTAACGTCTTTGTGTCGAATCTTAGGTGGGTTGCAGCTCTGAGTCTGGCTCTCTCCTTGCACCACAGTCCCACCCGAGCTGCTGCTCCTCCCCTATCTGTGTAGCCCCTTCTACTGGTGGCCCCACCTTTCAGCATTTTCACGGCCACGGTGTCACAGCTGCTGCCTTTGTTGATGCCAAAGGCTGAGGCTTCCACGACCTTCCCGAAAGCCCCGTGACCTAAGACTCTCCCTGTGGAGGCAGAGAGTCGGTTGCAGGTGAACTGTATGGAGTGAGGATGGAGAAGGGTGGGTGGCAGGGGTGACCTGTCTCAAGGGCCAGAAAGGAAGGGTTAGGAGCAAGAGGAATATGGGAGCCTCTTCTGCCAAACAGGAAGAGGATTGGGAGTGGGAGCCACAGAACGGACAGCAAGAGTGGAGAGGCAGACAGGAAGGCCCTGCATCCTCTCCTGGCAGGTGGGCCTGGTCTACCCTGCTCAGAGCAGCAGGAAATGACCTGGGGGGCCTGGGAACTGGGAGCCCTGGCTGTAGTTCTGGGGACTCAGGCCCAGATGGAACAGGTTGGGCCAGGTGGGGACGGGGGGAGGGGGGGCGCATTCCTGGCACAAGTTCTGAGAATGTTGGGATTTCTGGCCCTTGAGTCTGCCTGACCCTGTGGCAGCTGAAGCTGCCTTTGCCAGGCAGTGAGTGTGTGGGGGGGGCAGGCTGGGTGCTGTCCTCACCGAGGTGCAGCCGTTCCCTGGGGAACTCCCATTGGCTGGCATCATAGGACAGGTATTCACACTGCTCCTCCAAAGGCACCTCCCCGGGGTCCATGATGATGGACAAGTAGCCAGTCTTGATGTCTGCATGGGTGGGCTGAATGTGGGGGTGGAGACAGCTCACTGATTTGGCCAAACCACAGTGGCTTGGGTAAAATTTGGCTCAGGACAGATGTCATTTGCTAGGGCTTTCAACCAAGGAGAGGACAGACCAACAGACAATAGTCTGCTCTCTTTGGAGCCCGGCGTGGAAGGAACGGGAGCTTGAATGGAGAATCAGGACGGGAACCATAGGGGCTGGCTGGGGAAACTTCCAGAGTCCCCTTTAGAACTTGAGAGAGGCTGGGCAGGGGCAGACCCCTCACCCTTCTCATGTTACAGAAGATGAGGAGGAGGAGGACCCAGAAGAAGACAGCGATGACGCCAGTGCCAATGAGAATCACAATCTCCATGTTGCCTTTATCCTCTGAGCCTGAGAGGGCAGATAGTGGGTGCGTGAGGAGGTTAGGATGTACCCAACAGGGAGCACCCCTTGGGTGTGGGAGGTGGGCTGAAGGGAGCCAGGCGAGGCCACACCTTCCACCGCCACGCTGGCCGAGGAGTTCACGCAGCCCTTAGCGTTGCAGACGCTGCATAGATAGCGGCCGGCATCCTCCTCGCGCACGCGCTGGATGCTCAGCCTCTGGTTCGAGTCTGCCAGGTCGATTCCTGCAAAGAGTGAGAAGACGGTTCCAGCACAGGTTGGGCATACAGACGCTGGCCTTGCAGACCCCCCCCCCCGAACTCCACCCATAGCCCAAGGCCACCTTCCCTACCTGACTCTTTCTCCAGCAGTCTTTCGTCCTTGTACCACACAATGCTGGGCACATGCGCTCCGGCCACAGGACACCGCATCTCCAGTGAGTCGCTCACGTTCACCAGGAGGTCGGTCAAGTTCTGCGTGAGCCGTGGGGCTTCCAGGGCTGGGGTGGGTGTGCAAAGAGAGCTAAACGAAGGCCCAGAAACCAAGAGGGCCTCTCTGGATGGGACACTGCAGGGCTGGGGGCAGGGGCGGTTGTGGATGCAAGCGTGAGGTGGGCTGCACGTTACTGAAGGGTCAGAAACTGAGCATGCGAAGGACTGGGCATCTCCACAGCTAGACTGGGCACGGAGGTGGGGGGCGTGGCTCCTGCAGGCCCAGACTTGCATATGGACCAAGTTGGGTGCTGCTATGCAGAAGCCTCAGAGGCTGAGAAGTGTGGCCCCACCCCCTCCGGCTTGCCCCGCCCATCTCACCCTGCACAGACAGGTATTTCTTGTGACAGTGCTTGTCTTGGCTACGCCGGTCCTGCACCTCGCACACATAGTCGCCCTCATGCTCGGGTGCCACTCGGGGGATATTCAGGCTGAGGGTGGCGTGGCGCGCCCCGGGCTCCGCCTCCTCTAGGCTGGCCGCTAGGGGCGTGGCGAACAGGTGCACGTTCTTGCAGTCCAGCAACAGCGGGTTCCCATGAGCATCGTGCAGCGTGGATAGGTTGAGCCGGTACCAGCGTAGATGCTCGTATGTGTAGTTGTCCGCCCGGCAGCTGAGGCGCACGGACTGGCCTTCTAAGGGATCCTCCGAAGGTTCTGATTCGATACTGAAGCCGTCGGGGATGGCTGGGGAAGGGAGAGGAACCCCAGCGACATTGTCCTCATGTTCGCTCATCTATCCACCTGCCCTGGTGCCGGGTTCCTTCTTCTCCACTGGCCTTTGAACTCACTCAGTGTATCAAGGTCCTCATACTGTCCAGAGCCCACTTCCTTTCCTTTTCTCCTCTGACCAGTGGCACCACCCATCTCTTGGAAGCCAGCCCACCCCTCAGGGCTGGGTTCCTCTGGCATGCCTACCTTATTAATTCTCCTAACCAAGCCCCAACCAGGGGCTGTCCCCACCTCTTCCAGGAGCCCAGATCAATTTCCTCATCACTAGACTCAGTGGATTCCTCTTTCTCTTTTCCTACTGACCCTGGCTTTCCCTTGGAATGGTTTCATTAGTGCCACTCTGGATTTCTGTCTGTTGTCCTGTCAGGCTCCTTCCTGCCCCAGGTGTTCTCTCTGATGTAACTTCATCCATACCCCTGGACCAGTAAGTGCCTCCTCCTGTACCCCTTGGCTTTCCAGAGGTCACTAACCCATTTGAAAATCTGAGTAATTGATGGGCAAAATGTATACATGATCCATAGAGCTCTAGGCTGAGAAGGGGTGGGTGGAGAACAGAGCTAGGTGGAGCTGCAGGGAACAGGGGGGCACTCTTGAGGAGCAGCCTCCAGCACTGAGGGCAGAGGGTGCCATTCCATTCCACCACACCAGCACTCAGCCTATAGGCTGAGGGTCCTTAAATTTATCCCTCCCACCCGGTAGGGGGCAGAGGTTGGACTGAGTGCTCTGTAGTTACCAGAAACTCAGAGAGCTCAACCCTGGCACCCATGCCTGCCTAAGTAAAGTGGTATCCCGGGTAGACAGTCTGGCAACTCACTGGTCACATAGAAGTAGATGAGGCGCTCATCCTGGCCCACCTTGTTGAAGACCACACACTTGTACATGGCTGACACATTGGCATCCTGAATCACCAGCTTGCTCACCGTCTGCCCAGAACAGAGGCACAAGACTCCATTTCCTATCTGAACCCTGCCCCTCCACCAACAAGGAGACAGTTGTACCACCGGTTAGTAATGGGGAAACTGAGGTTTGGGACTGGAAGTGACCAAAGCCTCGAGCTAGGACCCAGAATAGGGAGGCAAAGATCAGAAGGCCCTCCAGCGAGAGGGGGCACCCCAGAAAAGTCAAGGGGCAGGTGTGGACTGTGACCTAGGCTGTGGCTGAGGTTGGAAAGGGGCAATAGGCAGGACCAGAGGGACTTGCCTGTGACATGGCTCAGACTGTGGCCACATTGAGGGGTCAGTCAGGAGCCAGCAGGGGTTAAAATTCAGACTGTAGTTAGTCATATCAGGGACAAGACTCTCCTGAACTGTGGCCTAAAGTCAGTAGCCAGTCGCTGTTCAAGGTCTTTGTGATGTGCTCATATTAGCCCAAGGGCATATAACACCTCCCCCAGAGTCTAGGATAGTAGGTAGTAGAGGGTATGTATATGTATACAGGGGTATCCCAGGATTCTAGAAAAATTCTGCCCTTAGACAGTAGGAAGCTTGAGAAGTACGGAGGAGAGAAGGCTATAGGCCCTGCCTACCATCCAAAGACCCCCCACCCCCACCCCAAGCCGGGCACTTCCTGGCCAGGCCTGGAACAGGAAGAGGCTCTGGAGGTGTGTAGGAAAACAGGAAGTGACTGTAGGAAGTGGGTGCCTTTGTTCGGTCCCCCTCCCCCTCCTGGCCTCTTCTCAGTATTGCCCCCAGGCTGATCAGCAGTTCAGCAACCTTCTCTGAGACCTAGTTAGCCCCATCCCCATCCCTTTCTGGCCCTGGGAGTTATGGGCAGCTGGGTTCTCCTCCTGGAGCTTGGCTTCTTTGCCTGGGAAGGCCGGGTCCCCACACACATGCAGGCAGGGAAGCTGAGGCCCAGAGATGGCAGAAAGGTCATCCTCCTGTCAGCTGCTGCTCCCAGAGCTTTGCAGACCCAGTGGAAACAGCAAAACCAGTGATCTCTCCCATCTCCCAGCCTCCCTTCTCTTCCTCCCTACACTCAGTGCCACAGCTGGTCTGTACCTTAGTCCTTCCCTCCACACAGTCCGTACCTTATTCTTCCCCTCCACAAACTCAGTCCAGGTGTCCAGGCTCTCAATGGGGTTCACAGCGTCCTGTGTAGTCACCTCCCTCCAGTCTCGGCACTGTGGCATGCGATCTCGCTGCTGGCGCCTCCGGCTGCCATGGACCAGGAGGGACAAGGGCAGGTCAGGGATATGAACAGGGAGGACCCAGGCTAGGGATAGGTGTCACATCTTTATCATCCTCAGTCATCTTCTCATGCCACAGTGGGTAAAAGACAGGCCTCAGGCCTGAGTGAGGGGAATGAGGGGCTGGAACATTGTTCCGAGCCCTGCCACAGACATGACTAAGTCCCACTTGTGCTAGTGCCTTTTTTAGAGTCCACCTTGGATGAGCTCACATAGCTCATGAGGGGGACCACAAGTCACCACTCTGCTCCATGAAGTCCACTACAGCTGTCTCTGTCTCTCTCCCCCTGGGCAGGCAGGAAGGGAGGCAAGAGAAGCTCTTGTCTGCCTCTTTCCGACGAGTGGGGAGTGGGCATCCCCAGGGCTCCATCAGTTTGCAAGGAGAATAATGGTGGGTCACTAGTAGCAAGTTTGGAGGTACCAGTGCCAGGCCGAAGGCCATGTGGTTCACAAGAATCCCTTGAGAGCCTTGTGTATTTCAGGCTGGCTCAGATCCACAGGCCATTCCTGAGCCTCCCACACTGACGGCTCTGGAACCACAGCCCCTGGGCCAGCAGGTGGGGCTGGACTCCTCTCTTCCCTGAGTTCCTGGCTTCTGTCCCTTTCCCGGTTTGGAACATAGAATCTCTTGTTTAATGGCAAATCTGACTTGTCGCTCTCCTGCTTAATGCCTTTCACTGGCTTCTGGTGCCTTCAAGATCCCTGCCCATCTTGGTACCCTCTTCCTCTCCTGTCCCTTGGATGTCATCTAAGTTGTCTCTGCCCAGAGTGCTCTCTTGGGCTCACCTGCCCCTTTTGTTTTCTTTTAGCCTATGTAACCAAGGAGACCTTCAACTCCTGATGCTCTTGCCTCACCTCTACTTCCTAAGTGCTAGGATACAGGCTTGAGCCACCACACCCACTCCACTCCACTTGTCCTTTTTTTTAAAAAAAAATTTTTATTTTTATTTTATGTGTATGAGTGTATTGCCTGCATGTTGTGTAAGTGCACCGTGTTGTGCAATGCCCTCAGAGGTCAGAACAGGGTATCAAATTCCCCTGGCCTTAAGGAAGGTTGTTAGCCACCATGTGGGTGCTTGGAATTGAACGTGGGTCCTCTGTAAGAGCAGCCAGTGTTCTTAAATGCTGAGCCAGCCATTTCTCCAGACTCTCTTATCCTTTTGACATTGAGCTTGGTATATGGGAGCATGGCTCAGCATTTGGACAGGTTCTGGTGCTTACAGCTTTGACCTTGGGAAAGCTTCCTCCTTTCTTTGACCCTGTTTCTTCATAGATGAATGCTAAGGGGGTGCTTCATAGATGAGCTAAGGGCTGTGTGTGTGTGTGTGTGTGTGTGTGTGTGTGTGTGTGTGTGCACGCTTCGTGAGCTCAGCACAGATTTTATGCCCTATTTTAGGTCTTCCTTCTTGGTAGAAGGGGTCAGCCTTGGTGTCCAGAGCAATGTCTCTGGTCTTGCCTGGATGATGTTTTGCTCTGTAGTGAGGCAGGTGGGAGCTGATCCCATGGCCAGTGTCCAGTCTAGCCTACTGGCATAGGACTGATATACTGGAAGATGTGATTCTTGCTCAGATAAGGGAAAGTCAGGGACTAGCTGAACTGATGAATTAACATCATTAAAACACCCAAAGACATCTAGTGTCAATGCAATCCCTACCCAAATACCAATGACATTCTTCATAGAAATGCAAAAACCACCTTAAAATTTATGTGAAAACACAAAACACCAAATAGCTAGAGTAATCTTGAACTGTAGAACAAAGCTGGAGGTCTCTCTCTGACTTCAAAATAGTCGACAAAGTCACAGTAACCAAAACAGCAAGGTACTGGAATAAAAATAGACACATAGACCAATAGAACAGAGTAGAGAGCCCAGAAAGGCATCGCACATGGGCAACCAACTGAGTTTTGATAAAGGTGGGGAAAGAACAGATACTTCAGTAACGATGATGAGAAAACTGGGTGCCACGTGCAGAAGAAAACTAGGCCTCTCTCTCTCTCTCTCCTCTCTCTCTCTCTCTCTCTCTCTCTCTCTCTCTCTCTCTCTCCTGAATGGATTAAAGACCTGAAACTATAAAATAACTAGAGGAAAACATAAGAAAGGGCCAGCAAGATGGTGTAAAGGCACTTGCACCCAAGCCTGATGCCATTGGTTCCCAGGATCCACATGGTGGATGGAGAGAATTGACTCCTGCAAGTTGCCTTCTGACCTCCACATGCTGCGGCATGCACATGCCTAACCCCCAAAATAAAAAATAAATTAAAAGTTTAAAAGAAAACATTAAGAAATGCTTCATGATGTTGGTCATGAAGTAAGAGCTCAAAATTCAAGCAGCAAAAGCAAAGGCAGGGTTTGAGTTTAGAGAAGGGCTCCCAGGATGGGTGCAGAATGGCCTGGGTGGCAAGAGGGGCTGGGAATTGATTAACAGGGCTGAGGCTGGAGATAGGGTGTGCAGTAGAGGGGAATGGCATGGGTGGGAGGGCACACTCACAGGCTGCGCTGGGTAAAGGTCTTGCAGGGTGTCCAGGGCCGCCAGTGCCACTGGACACTGAGAGGTGGGGGCACCCCGTAGGCAGTGCAGGTGAGGGCCTGGCGGCTGTGGCGGGAGTAGATACTGGGGGAGGAGGCCTCCTTCTCGTGGATGTGGGGGGGCACTGAGGGCACAGGCAGATGCTAGTCAGCTGGCCCCATCACATCTGTCCACTCACCCATCCCTTCTCCCACCCTTCCTGCCTGTACCATTCACCACCAGCTCCAGGCTAATGTTGCGTCTCAGACCAGCTGCAGAGTTCCAGAGGGTGAGGGTGTAGATGCCAGCGCTGGCCTCAGTCACATCTTTGAGCACCAGGGCATGTGGGTTGTGGCGTCCGGTCACTGCCTTTTTGTCCTTGTACCTGGTCAAGGAAGGGAATGCAGAGGCTGTGTGGACCCCATGCCAGCCCTGTGGCTGTCAAGTGCATTCCCTCCAACCAGAGTGGTTCTGGGATGCCCCCTGGTTACCTAAATTCTTAATGCTCAATCTAAAACACCTGATGCTGTCAACAAAAACAAATTTTGTTTGAAAGTGCCATAATGAAACCTAATATTTCTATGCTAATTAAAAGATAAATAAAACATGACAAAATAAGACCCACAGATACCTGAGGCTCAAGTCCCTTCTATAAAATAGCACAGTACTTGCACATTCTATAGGGATTCCTCCATATACTTTAAATCATCTTGCAATGGCATCCAATACCAATGCAATGTAAATGCTATGTAGATAGTTGTGTCATTCAAGGGTTCAGGGACAAGCTGCAATCTCTAGGCTTGATAGAGACACAAAATTGAAGAAATATTATCCATCCACAATTACTTGGATCTGTAGGTGTAGAATACAAACATATGAGGGGCTTGCATGAACTGTCGGAGGTGGGAAGAGGAGCCCAAGTGGCCTGTCCTGCTGGGTCAGGCTGGAGCAAGTGGCCTCTCCTGCACCAGACCCAAAGGGCAGCATGAGGGTGGGATGGGCAGCAGTCCCTGGTCTGAGGCAATGGACCAGAAGCTCTGAGTCAGCCAGTCCCCCTAACTCGGTTATGTGGCCAGTTGAAGACTGGCCCACAGGATCGTCCTTGAGTCCCTCAGCAGCACTTCTGGCCTCACCTCCAAATCCTCTGTGATTTTTCCCCAGGTAAGGAGCAGGCTTGTTTTTGCTCAGGGCAGCCTCCTTTTCTGGTCTTGCCTCTGAACTTGACCTCCACACTGGCTGGGCTTCAGCCTCAGGGAATGATTAGTGCCCTCAGCAGGCCTGTCTTCCATCACATCAATGAGTGAAAGAACAGCCCCAATAGAACACATGGGTTGTAAATGCCCGGCTCTCGGATCCCTGGCTCTGGACCTGTCTATGAACTTTCCAGACATGTGACCTGCACAGAGCTTTTGAGCTTACTGTCACCCTTGTTTGGATGCTCTTTCTACAGATGACAATTTGCAGGGTTCCCTCCTTTCTTCATTGGGGCTAGAGTATTGGCTCTTCAAAGACTGGCACCTGACAATGCCTGCCCACCCGCCCTCCCTTCCTCCCCTCCCTCTCTTTTTTATATCTTTTCCCCTCCCCTCCCCTTCTCTCCCCTTCCTCCCTCTCTCTGGCTCAAATCCAAGGCTTTCGCATCCCAGGCAAGTGCTCCATCACTGAGCTACACTCCTAGCCAGCACACTGACTTTTATACAAGTACCTGTTAGTTGTCTATTCTCCCATTGAGTTTTGAGCATCTGTGAAGACAGGGGCAGTCTCCTCACTGCTGTACCCAGAATACAGAGTGCTGCATGGGGCACATATGGTCACTCTAGACCCCTGCTGAGTGTGTAAGTGGATGTCTCACACCCTATAATAGGAAGGCCTTGATCTGGTTCAGAGCTGGAACTCCTGAAGGCAGCTGTCTCCACAGCTTGAGTCCCCAGCTCAGAGATGGTTCTATTGGACACCTTCCCTGTGGTTGAGCTGAACCACAGAAACTATGTGGTATGGGCTAGGAAAGGCATATCTCTTGGGTAAAGGCCTAAGATTGGGATGATTCAGGGATTCTGTACACAACTGTGACAGCAGTCTGTGACTTGCTTGGGATCACAGAGCAGGGCAAGGCTGGGGCAGAACCCAGGTAGAGATACCTGCCTCACTATGGTGCAGAAGGCTGCTAGAATCCCAGGTCTGTCACTTGTCAGGTTTGTGACCCTGGAAAGACCCTCTCATTGTCCCAAGCCTCAGTGTCTTCATCTCAAAACAGGGACGGTGTACTTATAGGGGTTTCAAAGGCTCACTAAAATAGTGCTGGCACCTTACTGGGTGTATTGAGTACCTCAGAAGCCAAGGGCCAACCAATTAGTTCACCAGACCACCTACCATTCACTCACTTAAGAGTAGTTCCATTATGATGCCCTGTGGGACTGTGGTGACCATGAGTGCCTTGGGGCATCTGAATACTTCTTAGAGGCAGATGTTGGCTAAGTAGGATGAAGGAGTAGGGATGTTCCTGTGGAAGAGCTGTGCTGAGAGCAGGCTCAGTCCTGCTGGCCTTGGAGGTCAAGGGATAAGGAGGGCCCTGTGACTCTAGGAGCTGCACCTGTGTGTGTGCGATACTGCTAGCCCATCTGTGCCCTCAGACCTGCCCCCAAGGACTCTGGTACACGCCTCGTGGTACTATACGCCCCAAAGCAATGACCTCAGATGGAAGTACAGGGTCATTAGGCTCAGGGCTAAGGCATCCTGAGCCCTCCCAGAAGCCTGCTTCCACCTATGGCTAGTGGGACCTGGCTGAGGACCTTTTGGGCCTCTGCTTGTCCTGGCATCAGAAGTCTTACCATATGGGAGGTGCTTCAAGCTTGGAAGGACAAGGCCTCTCTGGTTAGATAGGAGGGGGCAGAGCAGGAACTCCTCCAGGAGATTTGGGGCTCAGGTGGGAATGCCCTTCCCCTCTTCTGGCCTGTTTTCTTATCTGTACCAAGTAGACTCAGTCTGCAGTAGGATCTATCATGTTTGAACCATGTGGATGGCTCAGAGGGTGAGGGAGTGTTGAGGGGATATTGTATTCTTGAGCTCTGCAGGGAGTACCCAGGAAGGGTGCAGCCATCAGAGGGTCCTCTCTGTGTCCTGGGCATACCCTGCAGGGAAAGTCTAATTTTCAGCTCTCCTGCAGGCTTCTTACTACCAAACACTTTAGGACCGGGCTCCATAACAATCTGTCAAACCCTCAAGACATCTCAAATCTTGGGATCAGAAGGTCCTGGGAGAAAACAGCCTTATCGGAAGGGGGCCGAGAGAACAAATCACTGTAGTGCAGCAGGACCTGTTCACTCAGGATGGAGAGGGTCAGTTGGCATGGCCTTAGAGATGCTGAGAGGATACAGGAAGCAGGTAAATAAAACCCACACTGCCCATCATAACACACACACACACACACACACACACACACAGACACACACACACACACACACACACACACACACACACACATGAGTCTGGTGTTTTAATCTTTCAGGGTTTTGTAGTTCCTGGGCTGACTTTTCTTCTAGTTGAAATATCCAGTTATATGCATGGACTTTAGGGGTTCTGCTTAAAGAGGGCCTCAACTTGGTTTCAGGTTATACAGGGCCTGATGGGTAGTGACAGGTCACCATCTGAGACTCAGGGCTAATGCTCTGATGGGGAAGGACATGGCTCTTCTCACTGTTTGGTAAGTTCTTGTGCTAAGCTTGGCAGGGTAGAAAGGGAGGGGACCCAGGACTGTTACCATTGGAATTCAGGCGGGGGGTATGCTGCCAGCTTCACAGGCAGCTTCACCAGCTCGTCACCGGCTGTGGCCTCCAGGACAGGTCCTTTGAGCCACTCGACACTGATGAAGGGCTTTTCTGCCAGACAAGAGGCATCAATGTAAACCTGGGTCTGAGCCACCACTGAGCAGAGCTTCCTAGCCTTACCCCTGAAGACTGGAGCTTGCCTTGCTACCCAGCTGGTAGAAGCTGGGCAGGGCTTCCCCTCATAGCCCTCCCTTCCTCTTGGCTGTTCTCCTGCTGCTCAGGTGCATCATGACCTCCAACCCCCACCGCATAAGAGCCCTTGTTCCCCAGGGTCCATGATGCCAGACCCACCCCATATCACTCCAGGCACTATAACCCCAGCCTCCCAGGCCATACCGTGTACGATGACCTCAGTGCTTTCCCGGAATCGTTGAATGCCATTGTTGGCCTCACACACGTACGGGCCCAGGTCTTGCTGGCTGACATTGTGGATGGTCAGGATGCTGGAGAGCTCTGTGTGAGTCTGCTGGGAACGCCGCTCAGGTACCCACTTACCCCGCTCTGCCTGCCACACCCAGGGGAAGCCCAGGATCAGCAGACAGGCTGGGGCAGACACAACCCACCAAAGGCACACACCCCTGCTAGTTCTGAAGCACAGCCTCAAAGTTTGCCATCTGGGATGGAAAACTTCCCATCATACTGGGGTCCCTAAGACCGGTTCCTGAGTCTGTACTTCCTCCACACAGGGGCTCAGGTGTGCCAGACACAGTCAGAATGGGCATGGAGACTCCTGAGGGTGTTTCTGGGGTCAGGACAGTAGGAGGAAGGTGCCTGGCTGGGCTGCTGATCTCACCTGCTTCCCTGGGTAGTCCCAGTCAAAGGTGACACCTGAGTTGAACTCAGCCCATACTGTGCAGTTCAAGACCAGCTTCTCTCCAACCAACAGCTCCAGTGACTTCTTGGGGAACAGCTGGATGTCATAGAGCTCATTGCCTGGTTGATAGACACACAGTGACTCTCATACCCTTTGCAGGACAATACACACAGAGCGCAGAGCACAGGGTGCATCCAAGACTATCGGTGATATCCCAGCCCTGTGACTGGGAACTGGGCCCAAGGTGGGGTGTCCGCCATGTTCCTCTCGCACAGGGAGTGGTGACTGGATGAGGAGGTAGTGGCAGCCTTTACCTGTGATGTGTACGAGGAAGGGACTGGAAAGAAAGTTCTGGTCGCCCCAGGTGGTCTCACACTGCAGGTACAGGGCGTCGCGCAGCAGTGGCGTAGGCACCCGCATGCCCCGGCGGTCATCCCACAGCACCTCTTGTCCATCGGGCTGCAGCACTGAGCTTTGCTGGAGGGACACAGCAACTGTCAGTGCCTGCCTGACTGCCCACCTCCTCCTAGTCAGACAAGCAGCAGCCTTTCCCAGGAATGGCACAGGAGGGTGCCCGGGACAGGGGTGGGGAGGGGGATAATACCGAGCGCAGTGTGATGTTGAGGCCAGGGATGGACACCAGGCAGGGCACCCACATGGCATCCTTCCTGTTGACCAGGAGCGTGTCAGGTTTGTTGATGAAGGGCTGTTCAAAGTCTGAGGAGATGGAGAAGGAGTTGGGGAGGGCAGGGGCTCAGGGAGCCTCTGGCTAGGGTTGGGATAGGGGAGGCATCAGGGTGGCCCTGTGCGTCTGGGTGGTGTTGTTCCAGCTCCTGCTGCTATGTGGAGCAGAGTGAGGCCCACTCTCCACTCGTGCCAGCCTGGCACCAGCAGATTGGAGGAGGGGCACAGGCAGCAGCCACTCCCTCCAGGACCTTGCCCAAGACTGGCCTGCCTCAGACTCAGGCCATGGTCTCACCTCTCACAAACACATAGGTGCTGGCAGCTGTGGTGCCCTCAATGCGGGCCTTGATGTACTTGTAGTAGCAGTGGTAGCTGCCTGTGTTGTTGGCGTGAGCCTGGGCCAGCAGCAGCACCTTGCAGTAGGGCTTAGCTTCTGTGCCCTCGCAGTCTTGCACAACCTGTGTGTCCTCGCTGTCCTTTCCCCCTGCAGTCAGTACCTCCTGGGCTCCTGGCCAGGCCCACTCCAGGGGGTGCTGCCCCCTAGCAGAGGATAGGAGAGGTCAGGAGCCCCCTCTCCAGCTGTAACCCAAGGCCATAGTCTCTGAGGAGACTTCCTCAAGGACCAAGAGCTTCGATCTTTATTCATCACTATCTTACCCCAGGGAAGAACAACCCAGGGTTGGGTACATTCCACAGGCCTACTCCCTGGTTCTCTGCCTGGTTCTCAGGGCTGGGTGGGCCAGTTGGCAACATGGGCCTTGGCTCATAGCTGGTACTGTAGGGAGGCTCTGGGAGCCTTGGTGGGCTTAGGGCTAGTGAAAGTGGGCTGGCAGTGGATGTAGAGGACCTGGCAACGGTTATGGGTGAGGCTGGGTGAGTTCAGGATGCCTGTCTGTAGGGCTTCCAGGCAGCCACATCCTAGGACCCCCACTCAGCCTCCAGGCCCCTCTGACCTGGGGAAGAGTGACCTTCTGGGTCCTTAGCTACCACCTTTTGCCCCAGTCTTGGGCAGCTGTACCTGCAGGATATGGATAGGCTGTTCCCGGTGTCAATGATGTATGACTCCTCTGTGATGTTCAGGGTTGGAGGGGTCATGGAGTAGCCACTTGCTAGACCTGGGGTGAAAGATAAGGGGTTATACAAGAACTCCTGCACTGTTCAAGCATGTCTGGGCCCACTGGGATGCTTCTCCAAGGCAGGGCCAGCCTGGTGGCTCTCGGTCAGCAACACCTTGTCTTCCCATGTGCAGTCTGAGTAGGCCCCAACTGAACCCTGACTGCTGACCCGAGATGAGCTGAGATGCCAACATGATACAGGAAGAGGAGCCTCCAGGCCTCATTCTAAGGGGCAGGGGATTTAGAGTATGGGATCCCCTAGCTCTGCCTGAGGCACCCTTCCTCTTGAATTCTTTTTTTTTAATTTTTATTTTATGTGTATGAGTGTATTGCCTGCGTGTATGTGAGTGCACCTGTGTAATGCAATGCCGTGGAGATCAGAAGAGGGTGTCAGATTCCCCTGGAACTGGAGTTAAGGGCGGTTCGTAGCCGTCATGTGGGTGCTGGGAATTGAACCCGGGTCCTCTGTAAGAGCAGTCAGCTCTTAACCGCTGCGCCATCTCTCCAGTCCCATACCTACTGCTTATGACGGGTCCTGTGCATCCCAGACCTTCCCCCAAACCAGCCTGGTGTCACTTGTGCTCTGCCTGTGGCCTGGCCCTCTCCCAAGTCCTGGGGGGGGGGTCTCTTTCCCCTCTGTTCCTCGGTTTTTCTCTGCCTGCATGGGCTCTGCCTGACTGCCCCAGCCTCTTTTGCCTAGACCTCCTCCATACTTCCAGGTCTTTGCACAGTGCTCCTCCTCAGTTGCACAGGTAAACCTCCTTTACCTGGGGAACCCACCCTTAGCTTTCCATGACTAGGCTGATTGGGGCCAGGCATCTCTACTCTACAAGATCACAGCCTGTGACACATGTAGCTCCATCGCCATCATCCATCTCCCAATGGGCTGGAGTGTGTGCACATGCACATGTGCATATGTGTCTGCATGTGTGTGTTGACAGGTGGGGGTCTTCTGTGTGCATATGTCTATTTGTATCTATGGGCTTGGGTGTATAGATGTGCATGTTTTTGAGTGATGTGTGCATGGCTTTGGCTGTGTATAAAAGTGTGCGTATTTGTGTATCCCTGACATGTCCCCATGTGCATATACATGCACTTGGTTTTGGGGGTTGGATTCCTGGTGGGGGTGGGAGCTAGCCCCGGGGGAGGCCTGGACCTGGAACTCTGGCAGATGCATCCTGCCAGGACCATCATGAGACAACAGGAAGGGAGGACTGTGTGGCTGGAGGCCCAGGGCTGTGTCCTGTCCCTCCCCCCAAGTGCCTGGGGTGGTAGTCACAGCCCACTCTCCTGTCCCAGCCCCTTCTAATCCCACAGGCCCCTGGGATTTGGAGAAGCAGTTTTGTTCCCCAGCCTGAGGTCCCAGGGTCCTGCCTTACAGTGGGGTGGGGTGAAGTCTGGCTGTTCCCACCATGGGCGGTTCCATACACCCTGACTCTAAGCCACCTGATCAAGTAGTATGGTGCCAGGATAACACACTGCAAACACCAAAGTCTCATTTCAGCACTGTGTGGACAACACAGCCACTAGTAAGCACCCACTGGCCCTCTTCCTTCTGGCTGCAATTTGTAATTACCTCCTTCTTTCATCCCTCTCTCCTCCCAGCCAAAACTTGCCTTAGAACCACACTGCACCAGGAGTCAAAGCCTTTATTATGTATCTAGTACCATGATGCAGGCAGGGAAACCGAGATCTCCTCCGGACTGAGCTACTGTCCTATGAAGGTAGCCACTTGCCTGGCCAGTTGCTACAGCTGCTGCCAAGCCCTCCCTACTTCTGTGCTCAGCTCTTGACACTCAGCAGCCCTGCCTTTGGGGCCCAGCTTGCTCTGAGGTTCTGATATGGGAGGTGACCGGGCCCTGAAGGCTGCTTGCTCCTCAAATGAATGAGCACCTGGCTTTCCTATACGTGTCAGCAGGGCCCAAGTCCAAGAAGTTTTCTACTGTGCATTTTCTGGGGCTGCTGGAGAGCGCTCACAGCAGCTTCAGGGCAGTCATAGGCCAGGAAGGAACCCCAAGAGGGCTCTGTTGAGCTGGGTTTTGAAGGAGAAGTAGGGTTTCTTCCAGGCATTGAAAAGTGAAAAAGGCTATGCCAGGCAGACAGATGGGAAAACATGTGGGTGACTGAGTGGACGGCAGTCCATTGTCCCAGCTATGGAAAGGAGTGGTGTGATGGGTGTGAGTCTCAATCTGTGGGAGTGAAAGAACTATGCCCTCTGGATGGTCCTGATGGAGGGCAGAGCTGAAGGTGACACATGGCATATGAGGAGACCTGCAGTGGCCAGGGCCTATCTGCCTCCCCCATGCAGGAGATAGGACACCCCCACAGTGAGCTCTGTGGTGCATATATGTGCACACTCCCAGCAACTGCCAGCTGCAGAACAGTGGCAACTGTCACCCTAGCTTTCTTTGATGGCTTCCCTTTGCTTCTGAGAAACAGCAAAGTGGCAGCCACCTGCTGAGCCACTCCTTGGTCCTCTGCTTCAGCCCCCAAGAGGCACAGGGCATCTCAGCTAGTCAGCTTTGTAGCCTGGGACACTCCCATTTCGTTCCCTCCTGGGGATCTCCCTCTGTAGTCTAGCTTGATATGTCCCTTCCTTAGGGAGCAGTCATCACCATTCAGACTTCCGTTTTGTCCTCCTGAAGGCTCCTGCTGCTTAAAGCACACAAATCGGACTGAACTGTGGCTGGTTGGATAGATGATGAGTGGAAAAAGGATAGATGAATCATGGATCATCAGATGAATAAAGGAGATGGACGGATGGTTGGGCAACTATGGATGAGAAGGTGGATGGATGGATCGATGAATGGGAGAGGGTGGATGATGGATGAATGGGAGAGGGTGGATGAATGGATGAATAAGAGAGATAGATGGATGAGTGGGAGAGGATGGATGGATGAATGAATGGGAGAGGGTGGATGGATGGATGGATGGGAGAGGGTGGATGAATGGGAGAGGGTAGATGGATGAACAGATGAATAGGAGAGGGTGCATGGATGGATGAATGGGAGAGGGTGGATGGATGGATGGATGGGTACGTGAGTATATGGATGAATGGAAAGAGTAGAGCCTATAGGAGCCTCCTCCTTCTCCACACTGTACCCCTGGAGGAGGCATCTGCTCTAAGTAAGACCATCCATCCTGCTCCCTCCTGCTTATGTGAAACCTGGCTGAGGACACCACTTCCTCTGCCGGATTCTGCTCCCCACCCCACATTCCAGATGGAGAACTCCTTGTGGACACCTCCCCCTCCCTACAGCAACCCCTTGGAGGCCCATGATTTTGATGACACCACACTCTCCCCACTAAAGCTGTCATCGGCGTTTCTCCTGTTCATTTCCCTTCATTCTTTGCTGACTATAGCTCCTGGCTCACCATCCTCCTCCCTACCCAGCCTCATGCCATTCTCCATGACTTCAACAGTCACAGGATGACTCACCAGCACCCTCCCTTGTCTTTGAGATCCTCCTGTCCTCCCCTTCTCAGTCATGAGCTTCCAGGGGTGAACCCTGGGTATGGTCACCACCAGAAGCCAAGTCATCACTGAATGCCTGTCTTTCTGTGTTTCCTTCTCTTCCTTCTTTCATTTATGCTCAGGCATCCTCATCTACCACGTATATATTCTTAACTTCATCAAGAGCCTCCATTACCCACATCCCCTCTCCTGACTCTCCCACTCTCCAGGTGTAGTGGCGATCCATTCCGTATCACTCTGACCCCATACCACCACTGTGTCCTGGAGAAGTTCAACACTACAGCAAGAAGCTTCTCTCACTATGTCCCCCCTTGATCTTCCTACTTGCAGACTAAGCAGGCCTTGTTAAAGTGGTCCAGGATGTTCCCTCCTCCCTCTCTCTCAGCATTCACAAACAAGGCATCAGATGGAGAAGTTTCATTGTCCCTCATCTGAAGCCCCTCCATGACTGGGAGGGCCCCTGGAATTCTTATTTCTAAACCAAACTCACCACTGTACCTAGAACCCTAAATCCCTAGATCCAAGTCTCACAGGCAATTCCTTTCTCTTCTGCTCACCAGTCTTTCTTTATGGGAACACCTTCCATCTTCCAAACAAAACAAAGCACAAAACAAAGAATTCTCCACTTGCTTCTGGCTACTGCCCCTTTTTGTAGTTGCCTTTGTAACCAAAGCTCTGCGCAGTACCTCCTTTCCTCATGTTCTGTCGTGCATCTCTGAGGTGTGGTCCTCTGCTTCTTGGTGACTCCCATGCCACAGATGCAGTGCACACTTGAGGACACTTGCCAGCTCCTCTTCCTGGTTCCTGTGACCCCACTCTCTCATCTTCCTTCCCCTGACTGCTGATATTGTCTCTTTCCCCATGCTGTTTCTTTTTAAAGGTCCAGATAAGTCCGAAATCTTCATCTCCAGCTCAGACCATTTCTTTCAGATCAGCTTGGGGTATTCAGATTCCCCGTGAATTTGGACAACTGAAGTCACCCTAACTTTCGTGCTCCTAATGCTAAAGTCCAGACTCAGACTTCTTCCATCCTGTCAAAGGCTTCCTATTCAACAGCCTCAATGTACCCAAGTGGGAATCACTGTGGATGGTCACCTCCCTCTCCCATAAAGGCCCTACACATCCCAGAGTTGGTCTGTTCTCTCTTGCTGGGCATCTACCAGGTACACTTGCCCCAAAGTGGCCTCCTGGACTTACTCTTGTCCTCCAGACCTCCTCCATGAAGCTATTAGTGATATTAAAAAAAGCAATGAAACACAATGAGGTCACAATGAGGTCCTGTTGGTGACTTCCCAGACATTTCCAAGAAAATCCAAACACCTGACCCAGGTCAGCTCCATACATGCTTATGGTCCACTCCTGCCTCATGTCCACATCCTCCAGCCACCATGACCTCTACATCATCTGCAGCACGTCATGCTCCTTCCTGCCCTAGTATCACATCTGTCCTTCACCTGAGTCTCCTCTCCATGCTCTGCTCATCTTTGGGCCTCAGCTTAGACATGACATCTTTACCCTCATAAAA